TGCTTGGGAGACTGTGTTTTATGGTTGTGTTGGACAAGCCCAGGTTGAAAAGTGTGATATTAATCCATGAAAATATATCATGTTTTTTAAGGGAGTTTACCCAGCGCGGGTCCACCAAAGAAAGATTGGAAAAAATACATAACTTATTTTCCATTGCCCTGGAAAGTAATAAAAGGGAATTTTCCCGGGGGGGGGGGGTACTCCCTTATAAGGGCTTAATGGGGACGTGCGGCCGGCCAGGGTATGTTTTTCGGAATTTTGTCTTAAACAGGGTATTGATTTTATCAATTTTTGTCTTAAACAGGGTATCTTTTCTTAGACAGAACCCCATAACCCTGTTCTTAGACGATAAACAGCCTGCGCTTATGTTCTACGAATGTCTGATACTGGGTATCAAAAATCGGAATTCTGTCTTAAACAGGGTAGGAAAATCAGCGATTTTTGTCTTAATCAGGGTCTGGGAATGAGGGGCCGAGCCGCACCTCCCCACCCAAGGATATATCGAGTACCCTCCCCTCCCCCCGGGGAAGTTTTTCAATCTCCTCTTCTAATAAATACCTGGACTCTGTTTAAATTAGCTTCATCAGTATAACTAAACCAGATGTTCCTGAATAAAGAAAGACAGAGGGAAGTTCTCTCGTTTCAACTTCTGTGAATGTCTGCATTTTTATAATTTCAACACATCAGTTTGCATCTTGTAATGTACGTTTAATCTACAAACTGAGATTCTCTGCCATAATTTTTATACATGTATAATATATATAGAAAAAAATTGACCATATAAATCGTCCCATTTTCTCTGTAAGAGAAGGGAAACGACAGAAATAGATACAGCACTCAATCCGCTTTATGAATTCATTCAGTTGTTTTCTTGGGTATTTAACGATAAGTTCACAAGGTCAAATCAATTACTCATTTTAATGTCACGCTCATTCTCTCTTGGTCACGCCCAGTCTATCGTCTATCTGATTTTTGAATAGGCCTTGTACTTAGAAGTTATATTTCCTGTACGTTTACCACAGAGACATCAAAAAATACAACAAAACCAAAGAACAAAGCGAAACAAAACAAAACCTACTTTTGGTCATTTGTCTACCTGAAGATGATGGGTGTCATTCATTCTTGGGTGTCATTAAAGCTATTTATATACTACTGATAAATTCATCATGACATGATGTTGCGATAAAGTTGTTTGATCATGGGAAAAAGGAAATATCCAAAAAGAACTAACTGTGAAGACAAAAATCAGAAACTGTACGTGAATTCTGCACGCTTCGTTGCACAATCCCATGACCTTTCAAATTCAAATTGTCCACAGACACAAAGTGCCATTGTCTATTACTATTCTATATTTAAAAATCAAAGCTCATTGGCGCTCGGAATTTGATGCATAAATCCATTTTTGTGAATATAATTGTTTCTGCCAAGCTCACACTGCATGCACTGTCGGCACAGCTTCAGTTCAGGCTGAATCTACAAAACTTGAACTCACTGATTAACGTTCCAACCAGGTATGATATTCTCACAACCTATTTGTTACTTTATGCAACTTTAAAAACAAGTGTAGGAAGAAAATGA